TTCATGGCAATGAGACAAAATGGCGCACGGTCTTCCACAAGCCTTCGGATTCTCCGCCCACTTCCATCCGCACGGCATAGAACTCTCCGCCCACTAGCATTGGGCGCGGATTCTCGGACGAACACGTGCGCACGGTCTTCACGCGAAGGTTGGGCACGGGTCCTCGGACGAACACGCGCGCACGGCACCCGCATGAACTCTGGACCGAGACACTCGCACGGCACTTGAACATGGACTCGATCAAACGCACCACACACGGCAAACACGCGAACTAAGGTCCGAGTAACACACGGCATTGAACATGAACTCGTCATAAAATACGAACCATTACTAATCTCGTGATTAAGTTAAATCAATCACTTAATTATGTTTAATTATCTAATTAAACATAATGCTAAATCACCAAAATTATTTCGAACGTAACCGGTACGTCGAAAATATTTTTCGGTAATTTTTGACTGAAATAACTGAAATTAATAAACTCCGAAAAATAATATTAGAACTGAAATATTATTGTACTGATAAAAGTCGGGATATTACAATCCTCCCTCCTTACAAAATTTCCGTCCTCGGAAATTCCGAACATAACTGAAAATACATGAAAAGACATACATGAAATACATCAAAATTGAAAATCGGGAAAACGAGCGCGAATATCGGACTCTTCCTCCCACGTAGCTCCGTGGTGATCGCACTGAATGCGCACGAGGGGAATATCTCGCTTCCGAAGCCGACGAACCTGACGGTCCAGAACAGCTACCGGTCGCTCCTCGTACGAAAGATCTGACTGAATCTGAATATCTGAATGAGGGATAACATGATCGGGGTCGCACACGTACTTACGCAACATCGATGCGTGGAATACATTATGAATGCCTGATAACTCGGGAGGTAGGGCTAAACGATACGCGACCTCGCCTACTCGTTCGAGAACCTCGAACGGACCGATGAATCGAGGGTGCAACTTCCCTCTCTTGCCGAATCGCACAACTCCGCGAACCGGACGAACTCTGAGAAAGGCGTGCTCGCCAACCTCAAACTGAATGTCTCGTCGATGATGATCGGCGGAAGATTTCTGACGACTCTGAGCTATCCTGAGTCTCTGCCGGATCAACTCGACCTGCTCTGCTATCTCCTCGATCAACTGGGGACCGAGTACTCGTCGCTCTCCGACGTCGTCCCAATAGAGAGGCGAACGACACCTGCGACCGTAGAGTGCCTCGAAAGGAGCCATCTGAATAGACGAATGATAGCTGTTGTTATACGCAAACTCGGCGTATGGCAACAACGACTCCCACTTGGCACCCCTGTCAACAACCAAAGCGCGAAGCATATCCTCAAGCGTCTGAATAGTCCGCTCTGACTGACCGTCTGTCTCTGGATGGTAGGCTGAACTGAACTCGAGCTTCGTGCCCATCTCCTCATGCAAGCTGTGCCAGAATCGACTGACGAATCTGGGATCTCTGTCTGATACAATCGTGACGGGCACTCCGTGGAGTCGAAAGATCCCACGGGCATATATCTCAGCCAACTTATCCATGGACATCCTCATCGAAACGGGTAGGAAATGTGCCACCTTCGTCAATCTGTCGACCACGACCCAGATAGCGTCGTGATGTTCAGACGACCTCGGCAATCCCGTAACGAAGTCCATCGTGACTTCCTCCCACTTCCACCTCGGAATAGGCAGTGGTTGTAGGAGGCCAATCGGACTCTGTTGCTCGGCTTTAACTTGCTGACAGGTCAAACATCTCTTGACGAACTCGGCGATGTCTTTCTTCATTCCTCGCCACCAAAACGACCCCTTCAGGTCGTGATACATCTTCGTGCTCCCGGGATG